GACGATGCTGCTACCGACATGGCATCGGACGGCGCCCGCGTGTTCAGTGATACGGATGACGATGAGCTGGATGATTCCAATAGCAGACAGCGTAAGAAGTCCATTGCTGGCTTCTTCACGCAAATGAAGAAACGGCTCAGCACCTCATCGCTCGTCGACCCATCGGCGAAAGCCAGTGAACCACCCACACCCACCGATGATGGCAAAGATGCCGAGAGGAAGCGACGCCGATTCAAAATGCCCAAGCTGAAGAAGCTCTGGAGATCTCAGACCAGTTTGGATAAGGCAGCGACAGCAGCATCAGCAGCCGCAGAGCAGCCGCCTCTCTCACCGTCATCGAATGTCCACTCGCCTGGCTTGGACATGGTGGCCGAGGACGGCACTATGCTGCCCGAGGATACACCCAACACGACTGTGGTCTCGGACACGGAGCTGGAGAAGCTGGCAGGCGCTGATGCTCTGGAAAATGCCACACCAGACCTGCCACGCCACACCAGACCTGCCACGGCGGACTGCACCCAAGTTGACCGAGGAGGAAAAGGCGGAGCGGAAGAGAAAGGAACTCGAGGATAGACTGGCTGATGAGGAAAGACTACGGCAAGAGCTGGATCAAGTCCACGTAAAGACTGAACAGGCTGATGATGATAAAGAAGTCTGGGAGCCACTGCCACCAGGCTTCTTGGAGAATCTCAGGAAGAGAAACGAGGAGGAGGCGAAGAAAGTAGTCCCCGCTGTGCCGGAGTATGTTGACAATGATGATGATGACCCACTGCTGGCTGCCATGGCAGAGGCTTTGGAGAACAACACGGCGTCTTCGGCGTTTGCTGCTCCCGACGACGACGAGCTGGAATTGAATGAAATGGTGAACGAGAGCGTGCAGCAAGAAGAAGCAAAGGTTTCAGCTGCTGTGCAGAGTACTACACCCCATAAAGATGGCAGTCCTGCCGCCGCCGCTGCAGTCGATGATGACACGGATATCGTGACTGAAGACAATCAGCCCGAGGAGACACTGAAAGAGGATATTCAGACAGTGATAGCGGCAATACCCGTGGAAGCAGCCGCTCAGCATGAAGATGTCGAGGTAGCCGAGTCAGCAGAAACGGAGGCCGCTCAGCCTGAAGAAGCACGTCAGTCTGTGGAAGCAGTTGAGCCTGAAGAAATTAAGGCAACGCAACCTGAAACAGCTGAAGAAACTCAGCCTGAAGAATCTGAAACACCTCAGCCCGAGGAAGCTGAAGCAAGTCGGCCTGAAGAAGTTACGACAGCTCAACCTGATGATGTCAAGACAGCTCAACCTGATGGTGTTGAGACAGCTCAGTCGGAAGTGATCGAGGCAACTCAGCCTGGAGAAGCAAAGGCACCAGATAGTGACACTGTTGATAATACAGCAGAGCCAGACACCTCAGCAGCCAGTGCCGAAGGTGATGAGGAGACAGTGCCACAATCTGACGTGCATGCTGCAACCGACGATGAGAGCTGAGCAGGCAGAAGGCAAGGAGGTTGATGAAGATCACGTGGAACAGCCTGATGTAATATCCCAACCTGCCACCACTGAACCTGAGCAGGTACCTACTGCAGACGATTCTGAATCTCTGGAAACTGAGCAGACGGAGGGTGCAGAGGAAGCAAAGTTGGTCGAAATGGCATTCGCACCGGATGAAGTTAGTATTGCTGAATCAACACGTGACACAACTGATGATCAGCCACCAGAGAAAATGGACTCTACAGATCAAGATCACAAGTCCACAGATGACAGCAGTGAGCAGCTGGTTAGTGAGGACGCAGCACAAACAGCCGTAACAGAAACACTCGCCACAGATCCTACCGAGCAAGTAGCAGTTGTTTCAATTAGCGACGCGGGGTCCGAAAATGATACTCCAATGCCAACGGACGACACTAGGGATAGTGCAGAAGAGCCAGCTGTGTCTAATGACTTGGACGATGAACCTGCATCCGGTACCGCAGACACAGCGTACAATGCTGAGAATAGTGCCGTTGATGTAGGTCCAGACCCGATCACGGATGGAACATCCACACCAGAGATAGAGGCGACGGAAGTCATGCCACAACCTGACCAGGCAGAGGAACAGGTTACAAATAGCCATCCGGAAATGGAAACAAATGTACAGAGTGAGCCGGCACAGGCTTCTGACGAAGTGGAGAGCGCGGAAGCAGCCATGTTGGCAGAGCCCATGCTGACAGAGCCCATCCAGACCAACGATGCTGATCTAGCGGGTATGGAACACTCGCTTGCATCTCAGGCTTCCCAGCCATCTGATTTCGACGATGCACTAGGTGGCGAATCTGCTCGGTCCACCTCGAGGCGCAGAGGGCGGCGGCCCAAATCCAAGAAGATCGACGAGGATCCATTCGGTGGCAGCTATCTGGAGAGCATGAGCGATGTGGTTCTCGATAACACAGCATCGTCCCAAGTTGATGTTCGTGTGAGCTCACCACTGGTGTCGCCTATTAGTGAGCAGGTTGACGTTGCCACCTCGGCGATGGAGGATGAGCAGCCAGCAGCTGCACAGCAAGCTACCGTTGATGATGTGGTGCAGACAACATCAGACACCATTGCAGAGCCTCTCAATACTACTACCATGGATGAGCATGTAGGTGAATCTGAGAGCAGCATTCCCACGCACGAGGAGCCGAGTGTGCCAGCAGATGCAGCTGAACCAACGCCAGCCAGTCCTGTGGAAGATGATCCGACATCGATTGATCCTCAGCCAGAGGAGACTCTGGTTGAAGAGCATACCACAGAAGAGCCATCCATCACGGTGGAAGAGCAGGCGCCCTCTGATTCAGTGGATGAAGAGCAGCAGTCTGTTGAAGTAGCTCCTGACTCTAATGAGCCAGCGCCAAGTCAGGATGTTGAGACTGAAGAGTGCACAGATGCTGGCACAGTCACTGCAGCTGATGCCGACACTACCAGTACCACTGCTGCAGCTGTAACTGATGATGCTACCAGCGAGTCTCCTAGTGATGCTATTGCTGATGCTGCCACAGATACTACTAGTGACACCGATGGTACCAACACTGATGCTGCTGCTGCTGGTGATGATGATGATGACGATGCTGCAGCTGCTGATGGTGATGATGCTGCTGCTACTGCTGATGTTGCTGCTACTGCTGATGTTGCTGCTGCTGCTGATGCTGCTGCTACTACTACTGCTGATGTTGATGATGATGCAGTTGCTGGCGATGATATGGATGCTGCTAGTGATGCTGTTGCTGAAGCTGTATCTGACCAGCCAGATGGTACAGCCGCCAGTGCTCCTATGGTGGTGGTTGACGATGATGGAGAGCCAGTGGAGTGCATTGAAATGACTGAAATCGGTGCTCCGCCAGATCTGCTGAAGGAACCAGAGCTTGCTGAACCGACAGTCAAGGAGTCCGATCTAGCCCGGTCACTGGCCAGAGATTTTAAACCCAGTGACATGGAGCTAGAGGGCGACACCAGTTTTGCAGTCAAGCCAGAGCTGACAGTTGCCACCACACAAGAGACCAATACGGAGGATAGCGAGACTGCTCAGCCGGAAAGTTCAGAAGCAGAAGCAACAACTGCAACCGAACCAGCGCTGGAAGAAGTCAAGCCTTCACTGGCCGAAGGCGGTGGTGCTGAAATGATTACAGCCAAACCAATTGTAAGCGAGACCATTGCTGACGAGACACCAGCACCAGCAACACCTGCGTGCGACGATACGGAAATCACAGAAGCTACGAGTAACGACAGCACCAGCATGGAACTTGTCGAGCCATCCAGTGTTCAGCTGGCTGAGGATGATAGTCAGATGCCTGAAGGTGAAGACCCTATCTGTAGTGCATCCGCTGAGGCTGCCTCTACTGGTGACGCCACTGAAGATCAACCAGCAGATGTGCCCAGTTCATGTATACAGCAGCAGAGTGTTGAGATTGAGCAAGTGGAAGAGACGCAGGTGGCAGACGAACAGCCAGAGACGCAGGCGGCAGATGAAGAGCCAGAGGAAGCACTCAGTACCGAGGAAGCAGCACCTGCGGAGCCTGTTGCGCCCATGGCCGAGCAAGTGCCAGACGTTGAAAGCACGCCAGTAACTCCGAGCGTGGAGAGGGCAATCAATAACGACGAACAACCCAGCATCGATGAAATGACTGAAGAGGCAGTACCTGCTAGTGGCAGTGCACCTGAAGAGTCCAAAACGGAAGTGCCGGCCATGGCTAACATTCCTCCGCCGCCAGCAGCTGCACCCGTGTTCGACATTGAGATTGAAGGTGAGCAGCCCAGTGGCAATGTTTCTGGAGAGGAGCCACCTGAGGAGAGCGAAGCTGAGTCTATGATTGTACACGATGTCCCAGCGGCCCCGCTAGACATACCGATCAGTAGAAGAGATGCTCCGAAAGCTCCGCCACCGGTCATGGTGGAAGAGGAGGAGGAAGATGATGATGACGATGTGGTCAGTGCTCTTGGACCTAGCATTGCCGTGTCTGTCTCCAAACCAGAAGAACCTGCAAGGTCTGTACCAAGGTCTCTGTCACTCGAAGAGATGCTTCAGAAGAGCAGCAAAGAAGAGCAGGGCTTCTCAGCAGCGACGGGTCCCGCAAGCCCAGTGTTGTCCGAGGGTGGTGGTGGTGGTGATGACAGCGCTGGCCACCGCACTGCCAGTATTAACCGTCACAGTAGTGTTGCAACGCCCGAAGACCTGGATAACATCCTGGCGCTCGTTAACCAGCAAACGGCTGCACAGCTCGAACAGCAGGCAATGGCTGAAGCCCGGGGAGCAGCCGGAGACATTGGGGATGACGAGTATGAGGACGATGACGACGATGAGGGTGTATTCCACACTGAGGAAGCACACGCAGAGCCGCCAGCAGAGCCAGCGGCAGAACCGGAACCGATCGAAGATAAGCCCGCGTCAGAGGTTAGTGGCACAACACCAGGAGAGGAAGTGATAGTAGGATCAGCTGAAGCAGCAGCACCAGCAGAGGAAGCGACAGTGGGATCAGCTGAAGCAGCAGCACCAGCAGTGTCACCCGCCTTGCCCCAAGATGAACCAAGTGCCATTACAGAGAAAGAGAAACTGGAGCTTGAAGCCAGACGCATTTTGGAAGAGCACAAGAAGAAGAGAGGTGATGCCAAGCTTACAAAGAAGGAGCAAAAGGAACGTGAGAAACAGGAGAAGAAGGAGAGAGAGCTGGCAAAGAAGGAAGCAAAAAGCAAGGAGAAGAGCCCAGGGAAACCCAAGAAGGGAATTATCAGTGGTTTGTTTGGCCGGGGTAAGAAAAAATCAACCTCCGGTAAGGAAGCACCGCTTGTAATAGAGAATGAAAATGCAATTGATGGAAAGAAGAAAGCAGCAGCAGCAGCAGCAGCAGAAAATACCGAGGAAGCAGCAGCTGCAGCATCATCAGCTCCTCCAGATCCTGCCAGTCCGCCAGCCACTGCATCAGCTACTGCAGCAGTAGATGAAGTGGGTGGAGTAGATTTGGCGGAAGACGTTTCGTCGCCAACACTACCCGATCTGAAGGAGGCAAAGAATGCCGAGGAACATCCTGAGGGCGATGAAGAGGAAGAGGGAGAGCAGGAAGACGACTTTCTCGGTGCTCTGCCTGCATCCGCAACGTCTGGTCGGAAAAGTTCAAAGCGAGATCGCTTCATGGCGGCCGATGAGAAATACATGGAACGAGTCCAGGAGGCGGTGCAGCATCGGCTGAATCGAGTCAAGGCTATAGCATCAGCACTAACCGCAGCGCCTGTCCGCAAGCAGGAGGATGTGCGAGAGGTGTTCAGGAATGCAGGTCAGGAGGCAGGCCTTGAGATGTGGAGATTGAAGGTAAGGCCATGCTGTATGATAAAAAGAGTCGTAGTTGAGTGTGTTCTGATGATCGCGTAGTGCACGACACTCGGAGTAAAAACACTTATTTCATCCTCTTTTTCTTGTTGGAGTCGTAATTCCATCAAAACCACTGTACACTGTGCCGAATACACTACAGCCACTACAGTCACTTTGGTATTGAGACTATTGACTGTAGAAAATGCCATCATCTTGGCTCTAAATTTCGAAGTATTTCAGGGCAGAGTCCCGTGGGGTACTACTGATTTCAGATTTGTATTTGTACTTATTCAACATTTCCTGGCTCGTCAAACGACAAATGAATGTGAAATGAAGGGTGATGACTCTGAGTTTGTACTGTATCGGACTTGAAACAATTTCAGCAAAGGTATCATCCACCTCACCCATGCATGTCTTGCGGCTTGCAGACCAGGCACATTGCAGATCAGGCACATTGCAGATCACAGTGGAACTTACTCGGTACTTACTGTGATAATAAAAATTTCAAAAATACTCTTGCTTAGTACGGAGACATTGTCCAGAGCATGGGTGTATTGATTCCACCGACGTATGTTGGGATAAGAAGTTCTTTGGATACTAGGAAGACAGTTTCCTGTTGCCCAAGGGATACGTTTTATCAAAGTCCCACTCCACTGTACACACACTTACTGTGACTATGATACCTTGATGCACTGTCAACCCATCCCTGAGATTTTCATATACAAGGCTATGATTTGAAAGCGACTAGAACAGGATGTTGAGCTGTTTCACTCATACTTCAGTTATCCGGGCACCGAAGTTGCGGGCACTTCCGAGTCTACCGGGCACCCTTTTGGGTGCGTTTTAGTGGAAATATTACTACACTTGTGTTGCTTTTAGTGGAAATAGTGACATCACATGCAAGTGTGGACATTTGTTGATTTTTGTTTCTTACCTTTTCTCCACATCTTCCATGTATAACCAGGGAAAGGAAGTACTGAGGGTCACAGAGAACTTCCACCGTCTTACTCCAATCGATGCTGTACTGTATCTGCGGGTAAGTCAGCTGGTGGAGAAATGATACATTGACAAACTGTTTCGTGTCGTTGTGCCTCCGCGGGTGTCCCATCAGGGATTATGTACCAGTAAAACCAAGTAGACCACTCCGGTTCTTGAGACTGAAACCTGTGCAGATCGTACTCTGAGTAGTGAGTACCAACTGTTGGTGGACACGCATAGATATCTTGCAGTAACTGGATAGCCAGGCAACTGTACTGAGCCATAAAACTGGCCTACACACTGGGCCAAATCTCGTATCCTGCCGTTGAAAACTGTTCATGAACTCACAAAGATAATTATTCTGTTTCTTGGTGACCAGCGAACAGTAAAAAAACCCAATGACTGGTTTAAATGCGAAATCTCTTATCCTGCTGTTGAATGATAGCTGACCTGAGACTTCGACTCGAGATAACAAATCTTTGGTGAATTCCTAGATTGCCCCAAAGGCAAAGTAGATCTGCCGAAAGACCTAGAGCCGCTCTTCTTAAGGTGTGCTAGGCTAAGGGAATCATGTGCTTGTGTGCATGTGTGTGTGTGTGTGTGTGTGTGTGTGTGTGTGTGTGTGTGTGTGTGTGTGCGTGTGTGTGTGTGCGTGTGTGTGTGTGTGTGTGTGTGTGTCACTGTGTGTGTATGTGTGTGTGTGCTTGTGTGTGTGTGTGTGTGTGTGTGTATGCATGTGTGTGTACGTGTGTGTGTACGTGTGTGTGTGTGTGTGTGTGTGCGTGCATGCGTGTGTGTGTGTTTCTGCTGAATGTGCAGACAAAGCCTGCAGTCGGTGCCACGTACACCATTCACGTATGGACGGGCCTGGGAACGAGTGAGGTAGGACATCCTATGTTGCTTCTCGTCTGGTCTGACCTAAGAGGTTTAGAGGGTCAAACCAAAATCCCGTGGAACAGGTATACTGATGAATCTCAGCTCACTCACGTGAAAATGAATTTGTTGAGAAGTGGTGGTCACATCCATAATCTTCTCGAAAGGCCTCCTGTGATTCGTATGTCCTTTCCCATTCTTTGCAGTCGTTCATCCCGTCTCTTGTCAGCATGGCACACGAACTGGAAGCATCTCTTCCAGGACTGTCTGTCATTCACAAAGAGGTCAGTGATTTTGAACAATCGTTCAAATTGCGACTAATTTTTAGTAACATGTCTTAACCCTTTGCCGGCAAGTGCATTTTGTATATGAAATCCATAACATTGAGAAGGATGCCAATAACTCGCAACGAGGGCACATTTTGTATGTGCAAGTTATGTTTTCTTGGAAGTCTGGTACTACTTCTTGACCATGGAAAAATTTATTTTCACATACCACACACATACGCTACTAAATTGGCACCTATACGTCTAAACACGGAAATTGTACATGGTGCAAATCGTCAGATTCCGACATTGACATGATACTGCCAAAACAAGTCGACTTCGGAGCGGAAACGAACGCCATAGCCATCAGAGACTTCAGTGGCCGTGCCTCGCTCGCAATTCAGAGCAGCATCGCCCCAGAATCGCTGTCCGATGGCTCCGTAAGGTCGTGCGCAAGTCGCGCTGCGCTGCCGTCAATCAGGTACGTAGAAAGTCGATGGCCTAAAATTCCGTCTGTCGTCGGTCCCAGAGCGAAGGTCTGCTAGGTCCTCGTCGGAGAAGTCATCTGAGGACGAAAGGAATTCACTGCGCAAGAGGAAATGCATCTGACGACGTTTTGACGGAGGCAGACGGCATTGTCGGCGCGCGTGTATTTCCGTAGGTTTTCGATCGCGCAGTTCTCAATGAAATCAAATGGGACACGCGTAGATCTCTTCAGCTACGGATAGGATCATACCTAGGCTCTGTGAGGGCCACGGGAAATCCCCGTGGGCTGATGCTTCCTGTCATACCAGGCATGGATTTAGTATGCATGTTGAATGCGTCGTTTACGACGCATTCAAGTATGGGGCTGCCGGTAAAGTGTTAAGTTACAGTATGATCCAGGATGCTATGTGCTCGCACTGCACCATGCTATGTGCTCGCACTGCACTGTCCGTCAGTTCTACCAAGTACATAACTATACATTGCTGACTATTTCTGCTGCTGACGTGGCCAGAATGTCATGCATATGCTGGTGTTATGCACTAATGTCTTGTTCGGAACGCATTCCGAGCATTGATGTTGGTGTACTGTATGCTATGTGCTCAGACCCAGTTCCACGAGTCACCGCTGTTCCTGTCCTACTTCAAGGAAGGCCTAAGGTGAGTTCTTCAGTGGTTCATGTCACTATAGAGTCTTGGCTGGCATCTTCAAAGGAAAGCAGTAATCCCGCATGGTGGGGGTTGACTGCAGCATGGAGTGACTGAGCATTCCTCTTGTGGGCGTTCTTTCTAGTCCTGGTATGATTATGGGGGGGGGGGGCATAGCCAAGGGTCCATGTCAAAGAAAAAACAGGACTATAGGTACTGTTTTGTTGAGCGGTGGCCACGTATACAGACTATTGGTGGAAGGACAATGTCACAGTGGCCACGTATACTCACTGTTGGTGGAAGGACAATGTGACAGTGGCCATGTATGTAGACTGTTGGTGGAAGGACAATGTGATGGTGCACACTTATTAGAAAGTTATTACCACCCAGAACCGATTTTCCATCTTTGACCACTTTGGCGGGTCTGACCTACTCACCTCCCACCGCTTTAGAAGCTGCATCTGCTCCTTGATCCTTGGGGATGGTGAGTGTTCCTACAGATGCGGAAAACACAGCATCTAGCCGAGTCTCGAGCGAACCGTGATTTTTTTTACCAACCTGCCTCAATGTCTGTAATGGTGATTTGCTCTTCCGTTCCATGTACCTGTGTGGTTGCATGCGATGACTACAGAGTACAGAGAGCGGTAGCTGCCAAGGACAAGCGCCGTCTCCTGCACATCCAAGGTGTTCATCATATCGCTGTCAATGAGGTAAGGATTGCCGGCTCAGTCAAGGCAAATTCAGGCGAGTGCCAATGGACTAAACAAGTTTGTGATTTTGCTTGGATGACTGGCAACTCCACCATAGCTTGACTCTTGGTGGTGATGGTGAATTTTCTTTAAACGTTCCCTTTTCGTGCTCTCAAACTGATGAGCTATTGTAGAGGATGTGGTTTGTGTCTGTCCTTGAAATTCAACACCAAGATGGTTTCCATCGTGGCTCATGCTTTCCTTTACATGTGTATACACGTGTCACGGCATGCTTGCTTGCTTGCAGGTTGAGGTAACCTACAAATCTCTAAACAAAGGAGACGCGTTCATTCTGGAAACGAAGAAGAAGATCTTCGTCTGGCTGGGCTCGGCCAGTATCGACAAGCAGAAACTCAGAGCTCTACGTTTGGCCGATGAGATTGCCGAGGAGCGTGGTGGCCTCCCAGTCAGAACTGTCCGTAAGTTTCTATTTTTGTTGGACAAGCTATGTTGCTAAATCCTTGCTAAATGCTCTGTGCCACAAACACAGAGCCATAAACACAAGTTAGCAATGGCACTCGGCTGAATTACGCTGTAACTCGTCTGTTGCATGAGGATTGGCGGATAGTCATGAAAATGCGAGTTACAGCTTAATTCCGCCTAGTTCCATTGCGAACTTGTGTATCTTTGTTGGACGTGTTAATGGTGTTGTTGTTCTTGGCGTTGTTACCTTTCCTCCGCCACTGCACACATGCTATTCCTTTGAGGCGACCCCTAAATTGCATGTTGACATTTGAAATGGAATTTCCGCCTTCTGCCCGGCCTGTCTAGGCGAAGACTCCGACAATGCAGCATTCTGGCTTGGAATCGGCTCCAGAGGTCAGATTCGACCAGCCATGGGAAAAGGCATTCACAAAGTTGATCGCAAAAAGCAGAAGGTTCGTCTCTACAGGTAAGCGAGTCCACTGTGTGGTCTGCCGCTGTGCTGTGAGCAGTGAATTCAAACCACGGTCAGAGCGGATGGTTAAATGAGATGTTTGATCATATATTTGTTTCAGATTGGTCAAAGTCTGAGAGCATTGAGTGATATCCATTGGAGCAGTTGAAATTGATCTCCCTCCTCCTCCTCGTCTTCCTCCTCGTCCTCCTCGTCCTCCCCCCCCCCCACACCCACCCACACATGTGCATGCAAATCCTGATGTGTTACACAATGCTGCTGCCTGAGTGTGCTCAGAGCACTTGCTTGTATGTGGCATTAATGGCGTTTGCCTGTAAATGCGGCAACCACTAACTTATTGTGTTTCTGTGCCACTGCAGATTGGTCGGCTCTGGTGATAAGGGCAAGCTGAAGGTGACGGAAGAGAAAGCAAGGCCACTGCATCGCAGCATGCTGGCATCCGACAGCTGTGTCATTCTGGACACCGACTTTGGAATATTTGTCTGGGTTGGCTCCGCGGTGGGTCATCGCGAAGTCAGGAATTCGTTCAAGCGAGCCGCTGTGAGTTACATGGCATGCTATTATAGTCTTGCATGTGAATGAAATACACACGAGAAAGTTTCAAGTGCCACATGCATCGAAAGTCTGTTTTTGGACATCATTCATATATCAAATCTTCCCAATACACGAGTGTGTTGTACCTTTATGCGTGTGTGTGTGTGTGTGTGTGTGTGTGTGTGTGTGTGTGTGTGTGTGTGTGTGTGTTGTTATGTATATTTATAGATATTCATCCACATGAAAGGCTATCCGCCTTGGGCTCCTGTCATTCGTATCAGCGAGCATGGTGAGATCGCCCAGTTCAAGCAGCACTTTCAGAACTGGCCAGAGGTGGATGCATCTATGGTAGCTAGCAAGGCTGGTCTTCCAGCGGAGATTGTGGTGGAGCCAACGTCAATGATCGACCGCGGGATTGGCCAAGTGAAGGTCAGTCCAAGAGAATCTGAATTCTTTGTTTTTGCCTTCCCATCTCCCTGCACTCACTCTCAGGTCTCTTTTGTCGCAGTGATGAAAATTACAAATTCACTTGGCATCCATTGATATTGAATACATGTTGCTAACTACCTATTGTGTATACACTGCAGGGTATGACTCTCAGTACAGTAGGTGTGCTTAGAATACAGCGGTCCGTGTTCACTGGTAATTCTACTGTACTCCGTGCTTGCCCTCCTACTGTGTGTTGGAGCGTATCATAACTTAGCTACTTTCACAATGTGTGTGTGTGTGTGTGTGTGTGTGTGTGTGTGTGTGTGTGTGTGTGTGTGTGTGTGTGTGTGTGTATGGCATGGTGTGTGTACACGACAGATCTGGACCGTGGAGAACAACAAGCGTGTTGCGGCCTCCCTGGACCAGTACGGCAAGCTACGCAGCTCGGAGAGCTACATAATCCATTACACGTACCGCACCGAGGCAATCACAAAGCATGTGGTGTACGTGTGGCATGGCCAGGATACCAGCAAGGAGAGGCGCAGTGTGGCCACTGTGCATGCTGAGCAGCAGTCCTCTGAGTACCGCAAGGAAGGAGTAGTACTGGTATGTTCATTGTCGCCTACCCCCCCCCCCCCCCGCACCGCCCCCGAATTCTAAGAAGCTTGAGAGGCGTTTTTAAAAGATTTTTGTTTCGTTGCACAGCTGTCAGGATCTCTGCCTGGTGTCTAGTTCTGGCTTTGCAGTAAACTGCATGCACTAATCTTTCTGATCAACTGTTTCTAAACTAGACTCCATCCTTGCATGGGTTCGAGCCATGATACACTTTACCCGGCATCACTGCCTAGCTCCCAAGTCAGCCAAGTTCTCTCGAAACTGGTTCCTTTCATATGTTGCTGCCAGGCATGTGCTTGTGTAGATCCGTGATTACGTGATGGCCGCTTCCAATGTCCATTGTTTTCCTACAGGCTCGCCTTAGCCAAGGCTCGGAAACCGATCACTTTCTGAGCATCTTCAAGGGGCAGCTTGTCATCTTCATGGTACGTGCCAAAACGCGGCGTTCTGCTTCAGACCACACTTCATCATTAAATTTTAGAGCAGTTGTTTGTAGACAAAGTTGCTCGGCGACTTTATGTCTATGGTACGTTCAGTTTGGCCTGTAGATCTGTAGCTTCATCTGCAGTATCCACATGTAATTTGCACGTACGTCGTGAATCAGTGGAGAGAAAGGTGACATTGAGAAGGATATCTGCCTGACTGAGTTCTACACCGGATTAAATGCCTCGTAGCTGGGCATGATAGTTCTATCTAGAAGCATTTTGTCAATGTGCCATTTTGTATACCACCCGTTTTGCTACCCGGTTATAGGCTCCTCCCAGCAAGCGGCGCGGCTCATCTGCTGCCGCTGCTGCTGCAGAGTCACGGCTATTCATGGTCAAAGGCAAACTACCACTGCGGATTGCTTCGCAACAGGTCAGTTACACTTGTGTGTGCACACAGTAGAAACACAGCTTCTCAAATGCCCTGCAGGCTACTGGCTCCTGGCAATTTCCTTACCGCCAGTAGTTTACACATGTGGCTGACTATTAGTTGTTGGTATCCAATTGACTGCATGTATTGTGTGCAGATAGATAGCTAAATTGTAGTCTGCACGTCTCATCACATAATGGCTGGTTATATCTAAGGTCGCTGCAAAACCAGCATCGGTCTCTTCCAATGTGCATGTATGTACGCATTGGTTTGAAATGCAAGCGTTGTACAAAAAAATAACAGACGAAATTTTGCCCAGGCTGGGAGAGTGCCGCTATGTTCTCATGGTATGATGCCTGTCTTCTTTCTACAAGTAGTCTAGTGATGTGGATGTGATTGGACTATGGCAAATATAACACAGTGACACCTGTCTAAGACGACCGCTCAAGGGACCTTCAAAACCTGGTCTCTGTTACCAGATGGTCTCCTTATCCAGGGTCATTTGACTGGAAATAGCGTCCCTGGGTCCTGGTTGCAATGGTCTTCTTGGACAGGTGATCGCCTTATCCGAGTGGTTGCCTTGACAGGTTGACTGTATTCTGTTCTTATAACAATTGTACTGTGCACGTAGGTTCAATGCCGGGCATCGTCCCTGACCTCTAGCCATACGTTCCTGCTTGTCACCGCCAAGCAGTCAACATTCGCCTGGGCCGGAAAGGTGAGCGTATCCTGGAACCTGTTCTCTGTTTATTGATACAGCATACTTGTCCTCTGTTTATTGATGCAGCATACTTGTAGTCCACTGCTTGTAATGTACACTGTTGGAATGTTGATATTGCCACATGCCTATTTTTGATAACATGGGGGTAAGCGGCAGTTTTTGGACTGTTCATCAATGAATGAGTGAATTTGTTTGGTCGGCTGGGAGAGTTTTTTTTTGTTTGAGTGCATGTAGTGGTGGTGGAATAAATTCATGCTGATTTTGGGCAGGATGGAGTTTGGATATACATGTCACGGCACTCTTTCGGGACATGAGAAAGTTAGTCATGATATTCGATCTGTCGCTTAACCCGAGCTCCATTAGAATGACTTGACTCGGGCATCAGACATGAGTCGGTCTGGTATTGTAACTATGATTGTGCAATATCTGCAACATTTATATCCAGTCTTTACCCGAACATTGCCATGCTGGTACAAAGGGCTTGTTGGAGACGCCCAAGTCACGCTGAACTGAGTCTCTACACAGGTTTGTGTTAGAACAAACCTGCAGCAGGCCCGTCGCATCGACTTTGGAGGTGGGGTGGCCATGGAAGGGGGGTCCTCCCCCGGGAAAATTTCAAAAATTGAAGCCAATTGCAAGCATTTCCAGGTATTTGATGCCATTTCAGTGTACGGTAACTACAATGAAAGTCTTTTTGATTCTGCAACAAACGAAGAAGACGCTACGATCGGGGACAAACATTACCCTCCCCGGGAAAAAATTCAAAAATTGAAGCCAATTGCAAGCATTTCCAGGCATTTGGTGCCATTTCAGTGTAACTGCAATGAAAGACTTTTTTCTGCAACAAACCACGATCGGGGACAAGGATTTGTCACGTTTGCGCTAAGCTGCGATCATGCATTGCAATATTGTGCTTTGTTGTAATGTGTTCAAAAAAAAAAAAAAAAAAAAAAACTGCCGAAAAAGTGGGGCGGCTGAGGCCGCCCCAGGCTGTGACGGCCTTGTGCAGAGCTCCATCCATTGCTTCTTCGTGTGCATGTATAGGGCTCGTCTCAGGCAGAACGTCGCGCTGCTGTGGGAATTGCACGTGTTGTGGGACAGAAGGGCAAGTAAGTGCCTTGTATAGGATGTGAACGACAACTCTCTGTCTCTCTCTGTCTCTGCGTCTGTCTGTCTGTCTGTCTGTCTGTCTTTCTCTCTTTCCATCTGTCTGTCTGTCTGTCTCTGCACCTATCCGTCTGTCTCTGCATCTGTCTCTCTATCTCCCACCCTTTCTTCCCCTCCCATTGTCTGGGTTATTCCGTGCTGGCTTGCTGGGAATAACTGGAATTGTTTACAGAGCGTGAATAGAATCCACACCGGGAGTACATTTTCCACTGCCTTTCCCTAGATGACTTTATGCAGTCCATCCGTGGCTGACAGTTACATTATATTCACTTCCCCATATTTCTTCACTTTGAAGACATTTTTTGCGTAGGCATGGCGTGTTTTTGAAGCTGTGCATCATTTCGTGCTCAATCAAGTGATATGAAGTCAGGTAGATGTCCTTTCCTATATTGATGGTTGATCCTTGAAGGGTGGTGGCGTTCCTACGGATGCGGAAAGCCCGGCTTCCAGCCGAGTCTCACGCGAACCGTGAAAAAAAAATATTGATGGTATTTCAGGGGCGTCACATGGCAGTGGGGATTGGTACGCCCAGGGGTCCGGAGGTGCCCTCCTGGGGGGGGGGGGGGAGGGAATCTGATTTTCGGCCAACAGCGCTCTATAGGTGCTCTGGGCGGACCATCCTGGATGGAAAGTGATACGACCACGGTCGTAGTGGTCGTACCGTGTGTGACGCCCCTGTATTTACTCCACCGATCCATGCAGGGAGCCTCAGCGTATCCTGGAAGGAGAAGAGACCCAGCTATTCTGGCATTCTCTTGGAGGTCGCTCATCGTACAACACCGATGTTCAGTTGGAGGTGGGTATTACCTGTGCGGCACATCACACCACCATGTTTGGTTGGATCTGCTTAACAGCAAGACTTTGTGTTCGTTGTGAGTGGATGTATAATGTGTTTGAAGACCAATTGGTGCATATCATCAACTTTCAAAGACCAGCTCATGATTGTGAGTATCCTTCTAACTACTGTAGATCTGCTGTTACAACCCATACTCTAATTGATCCTGCTCATCCCTGTACACTTACGTAGACGTACTGAATTCTGTATGGTTTGATGTGTGTACTGTATGCCGTGTAGGCTCTGTGCCACCCGCCACCCCGCCTGTTCATTTGCTGCGTTGTCGGTGGTCGCTTGACGACCGAGGAGATCTTCCACTTTGTCCAGGCTGACCTGTTTGAGCAGGACATCATGCTACTTGACACATCAGCACAGGTCTGTCACAGTGGTTGTCTTGTGCTCTGATCGGATGTTGTAGGGAAAACACATCAGCAGTTCCATGCATTGGCCACATCGATCATTGATCTATTTTTTTCTATGTATCGGATACTCTCATTCTGGGGTTGGATTCACCCTCACGTCACCGGATTGCACATAATTAGGTAGAATGTATCATGAAGGCAATAAAAATACAAATAGATAGTGGGCAATACGATGTCCCACTATCAAGTTGTCGCAAGGTCTTACTAGGATCCGGACTGCAATTGTGAAGATCCTCGGGAAAATAAATGTATGGATCAAGCTGATCATGCATGCATTGTGCGTGTGTGCTCTCTTTGATTTCTGCTGAAGATATTCATGTGGGTCGGAGAGAAGGCTGAAGTCAAGGATGTGACTTCTGTCTTGAAGATGGGAACGGTAGGTGCTCTATCCCGTCCATTATCTGATCACCTCTCTTCCCCCCCCCCCTCTCTCCTCTCTCTCTCTCTCTCTCTCTCTCACTCACACACACACACACACACACACACACACACACACACACACACACACACACACACACACACACACATACTGCGCTTTATAGGACATCGTAAATCGAGAAGCAGGCATTCCTGTGCTTGCTCAAAGGTAGATGTTTCATGTGTACGTGTGTGGTTATTGCTCTTGTTACTCAGGACTATTTGGAAACAGACCAGCAGGGCAGAAACCCGGACTCCGTTCCCATCAACATTGTCTATCAGAAACAAGAACCCATTCCATTCAGCAGCCACTTCCAGGCCTGGAATCAGCACTTCTGGGATGAGGTAGGAAAACATCACAGGACGGACATTTGAGGCAGTCAAGTCTCTTGATGCATACTAGTATGTTAATACGAATGCTCAGCAAGTTTCATGCACAGCGCTATGTTTGGCCTTGACGTTCACAGACTCTGTGCATGAGCTAAAGGCAATCCACTACCCACTGGGAGTCATTGGAGTACCGATAAACATGTTACTGTTAAGAAATGCAGGAAATTGTGTGGGAATAAATGTTCCGCAAGTTGCAAGCTCAAAAGTCGAAACAGCAATGACAATGCAAGGGACATTGTACGGGATCTTGAAGGGCGCATGCCCGCGTGACTCGCGCATGCGTGCAGGTCGGACCAGCTCGCTGGGCTGGCTGCTAACTTGCATTAGCATGCTAACGCTCATTTATATTTGAGACTCATTGTATCACTCTTGTGCATCTCTCTGTTACAGGCACCTCCAACCGTCGAGACTGTTGAGGCTGCAGTGACAGGGAAGCGAGCAAGCATACTCTCCACAGACACACCAGATGTAAGCAGCGGTAGTGCTCTGTGCTTGATTCTGACAAATAATTTCTGGGTGGCAATACCTTGTTTTGTTCTGCGAGCTACTAAATTGACATTGTTGTCAAAACTGGAGCTTTGCCTATTTCTTTCTATGAATTGATTTTGATGGATTCTACAACTCTGAATAAAATGTCACGTGATTTTAGGGCAGGCAGTTTTCAGTACTGTTAACTGTTTTCACTTCTGGCTTTCCTTGCAGTTATCTGGCATTGTCAGTTTGGAAAGCTCTGGCGTGTTCAGTAGCAGCGCCTCTCCCGAGCCGCCGCTTGAGACCCAGCTGGAGGAAACGCCGTCGGCTGTGAATCTTGCACAGCAGGAGGAGTATGTACCCAGCGCCATGGCTGCCACTGAGGAGCTGCCACGACCATCGACCGGCAGTGCAAGCGAGCTGGTTACTGATGGGCCGGTAGCTTCTCCGCCCGATTCACCGCCTGCAGCTACAGAGGAGGCTGTGTTTGAAGAGGTCGAAGAGCAGCCCAATCCGGCCATTGATCAAGCACCAACTGACACTGCCAATGTATCCAACCCTGCTGAAAACACCGAAGAGAAACCGCAGGCTGAGAAGACTGTAGAAGTCACACCACAACCAAGTAATGTTCCGTCCGCTGAGCCACATGCTGAGGAAACCATTGCAGTAGAAGATACTGAAAAGGCAAGCAGTGCTGTCGAAGAAAACTCTCAATTACCGCCGGATGCTGATGTTGAGACCAGTCCATCTAGCCCGTCGGTAGACCCTGACGGCGCGGACACTGTTACCAGCGAGGACGAGCCTGTTCCGTTCAACGTCCTGCAGACGCACATCGATTCCCAGGCAGCATCACTGCAGGACATTCCCTCAGCAGTCAATGAACAACAGGCACTGTCACCACCATCTTCTGATCAGAGAGATGTCATTAACACTTCTGCTGAACCTGCTTCTAACTCTGGTGAAAACAACGGACAAGAAACCGAGTCAGCCCGTGTTGAAGAAGCTGCAGTCAATGCAGGGGACAGTACTCAATCTCTCACACCGCCAGCAGAAAGCGTCGACACTTCCGAGGTAGCAGCTGGCAATGATGCCCCATCGACTGTTGAAAAGCCGGTGGAAGCAGTGGCGAAGAAACATCAGCGGGCAAACAGTGACGAGGACAGTTTCCCAATGCCGGATCTGGGCACTCTTGATCACTTAGCCGCAGCGAAACCCATCGACACACAGAGCGCACCAAGCACAATGGCCAGAAAGAACTCCACCATTGAAGAACTGATGGACAGCAGCGGCATGATTGGCACCGACCTTGATTCAATCATCGACTGCCTGACTACATCATCTATTAACCTACTGGATGCTGAGAAGAGGATTGATGGAGATGGTAAGTCGGTTAGCTTCCAGGTTTTGCTCTTCTGTATTTTGACACGTGATGTAAGCTTGATGCCGTCAAAATCCTGAATGTCGTGCATATTGAGTAGATCGTGAAATGACCAGGTTACTCCGTAGAAGATGATGCTACAAACGGTGGGTTTGGGATTCGACCTTTTTTGCATATGTGTGTGCGCGCGCGCATGTGTGTGTGTGTGTGTGTGTGTGTGTGTGTGTGTACACGTGCTTGCATTCATGCATGTGCACGGTGATAATATCCAGATGGAGCTGACATCGATTTGGAGTCGATGGTGACAGAACTCGACAGTGTGCTGGAGAGCAGCGGTCTTGCTCCACTGGAGGTGCGCCTGAGTGGGCGCAGGAACGTGCGCATTGCTCGCTCACCAAGTGATGCAGGTACTAGTATGGCCGCAATGCTTGCCTTAGCCCAGTAGTACCATTGCTCCCCTCTCATCTGTTGTCCCGTCAGTGAAGAAAGGCACTCTTACACTGATCACACACTCGTACCAACTAGTAGTTTGCTTCAAGTGTAGTGCTGTTTTCACTGTTACTGTTTGATTTTCAAGCTTGCAAAATCATGTAATCCGCCCGACCACGCGATTGCTGTGAGCAGAACAACCAGACCACTCACGCTGGCCCCAGTGTCATTGTTTCCACAGTGGGTTTCATAGCAGATGTTTGCACAATAGTGATGCTGTCCTATTGCGCGGTGCGTTGTACTTGCAGCTGCTCCTCCATCACGTCTTCTTGAGCTACGGGGTGGTGAAGCGCAGGTGCAGAGGTCATCCAGCACTCAGGGCGATGGAAAGCCACAGAAGAAGAAGCGATTGTCAAAGCAGGTGAGTGCCAGGCTGGACCTGCTTCATACCAACTCACTTTTTTAGCCGGCGGTATGTGCTGAAATGGCTGATTTCCGTGATCGTGGTTCAAAATGCGTTGATTGTTGCCAATGTGTACCGTTCCTGTATAGTGATAGCTTTGGTTGCTCTTGTCCATGTCTTGTTCTGTTCAGCACACTCTGGAAGGCCCTGAAGTGGTAAGTGCATGGCCGAACGTACGGTAGCAGAATGTATTTTAAAGCTACTGTACGATGCACAATACTAAGTCTTGTACAATGTACAATTACATTACATTACGTGACATAGTATTCTGTCATAATTGTCCTGAAGGTGCAGGAGACTTCGAGTGCATTGTTTTGCTGTGTTTTTTCCCCTTTTCAACCACACCTTGTGTAATGTTCTTAGGTGTTCATCATGGAATGTTTGTTGCATTCCTGCCTAATTCATTATGTGTCAGGCCCATGAACTGTTAAAAGCACAGCAGGACATATACTTTCATGAAATCTTCTCCTAGCGTGCTTTGGGCAAGCTGTACACACACACACACACACACACACACACACACACACACACACACACACACACACACACACACACACACACACACACTACTACTACTACTACTACTACTACTACTACTACTACTACTACTACTACTACTATGTACAGCTACCCTATTGGGCCACGCCGCTCCCAGAAGCGGGAGACAACGACAAGAAGAGAGAAGAGAAGAGAGAGAAATCGCAAAGTCAACAGTATTGGCACACACACACACACACACACACACACACACACACACACACACACACACACACACACACACACTGCTCCATAGTTAGGTCTGTACTGCACGCCTACACTGTAGTTATGTTCAAGTGTTTACACAAGAATGAGAGGAAGAAGCTGTGTTGCACCTCCGCGTTTCACGTAGTCATGATCATCAGGCAATTGATGGCTCCAAAACGGGCAGCCTGAACATAACAGGAAGAAAGGTGAGAATATAAGAGGAAGCAAGTTCTTATTTGTACAGTTCAGACGCAAGAAAACACTCCATGACTCCTGGTTGTTACGTTTCACCACCCAGGAAAGAATTCCTATCTACCGGGACGATGTGGAAATGCCATTCGACATTGCAGTGAAGCCGAGTACCACAGCACAGCACGTGGTCTTCAAGATGGTGGAGAAGACACGCTCCAAGCTGCAGATGACCCTCTGCTTGGTGGAGGTCATCGATTCCTTACATATTGGTAAGTCAGACTCACGCAAAGTCTTGCGCCATGTTGCTATTATATGATACACAAGGAATCTAATGGATACGACCCCTTAGTACCAGGCGATGAATATCTTGGAGTTGAGGGAAATGGAATCTCTTGGATATGGTAAGCGGGAAACTCATTTTGGTTAGCCTGTGAGGCAATACCAAAATACCCGACTCTCAAATTCACAACAGGGAAAGGAAAGTTCTTCACAACAGAGGAATGGAAATGGTCCGTTTTCGATGCTTGGCTTTTCATTGCGCTCAGTCCAAACTTAGAGTATCAGAAGGCATACTTGTGATCATCTGTTTCCGATTAGCATTGCTCGGGCAAGACCGTTCTTTCATAGAGCATTCTCCTGTTGGTGCTGTTTGCTTTGTGCCATTCCGAACAGAGCGTCGTTTGGAAGATCATGAGCTAGTTCTGGATGTAAGAGCAAACTGGCCGGAAGGCAGTGACAACAAGCTGGTCTTCAAGAACGCCTCCACTAAATATGCCCTATGGGAACGGCCGCAGGTGAGCGAGGACACAATGCATGCAAGAAATTACTCAACACTGAAGCTGATTCGCATTGACCGCATCAAGCACTCTCTTAGATCCAATGTATTGACATCTGCTTTATCTTTGGTTTCTGCTTTCCTTCCCGACAGCTTCCTCATGCTGTTCTTGATGCCATCTGTGATGACAACGAGGTACCTGTTATCGAAGGCATCCTCAGTGAGAAGCCGCCATCGAAGAAGAGCTGGAGAAAGCGATATTACCAGCTCGAGCACTTGGGTATTCTGGCGAACTGCAGCTCCAATGAAAAGATGGTAAGAATGATTGCGATGGGATCTCGTGTCGCCTTTCAGCTTTAAAATCACATGAAAGACTCAATAGAATCGGAAGGAGAGCCGGTGATTAATTTATAGTAAAGAAAAGGACCAAGGAACTACAAGTTACGCTATAATGACTCAATCTCAAGAAAAACCCAATCTGGCTATTAATGTGTCGTGGTGACTTCGCAATGAAAAGTCAAAGTGGCTGCTAACCAGATGAAAGATGATATGGTATGATGTGGTCGTGTGATTCTTCTCTGCGTGCTGTAGCTGACGAAGAAAGAGTCGATGGAGATGGTGGCAATGTTTACCGACCATGACATCTACACGCCATTCGGCAATGACAAGCTGAATGTAGGGCCATCACAGTTTGTCATCGCGCTCAAGGTAAGAACAGTGGTGCTGAAATGGCGTACTGTATAGCGGATATCCAGCTATAATTTATAGGGATGAAATGTGTACATACGTTAGTTCTTTCATGACCTCTGACATATCATGCAGAACCGATGTAGTGCGTCATTTAAGAGTGTGAAATGTTTCATGCATTATTGCTGGCACTTCCACCAGAGCTATGTACATGAATTCAATGATCTTTGCTTGCTCTGTAACAGCCCCACAAGACGGATGATCGAAATGATGTCAAGATGCTGAGTGCCAGCAATGCTGAGGAGTTTGTTCACTGGATTGCGGCCATGCGTCTGATGAAGGTAATCATGACTGATCAAATCAACGCGATCTCTTTGTGTGCACTCAGTTATTGATGAGGTGAACGGTTTGACTACACTTGAAGGGGGGGGGGGGGGGGCTATGTAGGGCTGTCTGTTCACAGAGGAACTCTCTGACAGTTGGTGTAGTGCCATGAACCTCGGAGTAACGGCTAGTATCTATCTCCTGTTCTAGCTGTGATATGGGGCGTATCTGCCACTGGGTATGGAGTACTTCTGTCACTAGTGAGACATCTCATTGTGTCTCACTGTCTATCAATTTTCCAGCAGTAAAGAATCGGATGCATGTCCTTCCGCTTTAGACCAGGTAGTCAGTAGTCTACAGTTGATCTACTTTGCTGTCTACTGCCAAATCCAAAGGAGAGGAAAGAAGGAGAAGGAAAGAAAGGAGAAGGAATGGATGGACTAGGAAAAAGGAACACCCTTTCCCCCTGATCCAGGTCATATAATAGGAGTCACATTATATGAATTGGCTTATGTTCGAAATCTCCACTCTCTATTACAATGAATAGTTCTGAAAAGCTAAATAAATGAGGGATTTATAGAAAAGAAAAAAAAAGGACTAAGGAACTACAAGTTCCGAGTCCAAACGAGGGATTGTTTTGCCTAAAAAAATAGTAATAAAAAGATTCTTGAAGGGCTCTTCTATGATAGTGTCTGCCAAGGGAGTCTGCCAATTTTGTAAGAAGTTCCCTTAGAACACACCGGCCATGGCTGCTCTCATCATCATCTTCACGATGTCCTAGAGGAAAATCCTGCATAGGCCACACAGTGCGTTTGAATTATTTCCAGTCAAAGCCACATGAATTATTGTCCGCACTGTTCCCATTTTCTTTCAAAGTCCTCTATGCCATTCACATTGTCAAGTCCATCCGCCTTGCACATTCTGTTTTCTTGCAGTATGGTGCACAGCTGCGTACCAACTACCAGGCTGTTCGCAATCAGTTCATCGCCATGGCCAAAATGAAGAAGCAGCTATCGCGTCAGGGCCTGTATGGCGTGAAGCCAGCACGGCATTGAACCCAACGCCACATCTAGCTTGCTGTACAGTGTGCCATGCCATTGGTCTCATTGCCACTTGCCATTGACTCTAGTGCCCATTCTCAGGCGGCTGTGTTGATTATCTATCAGATGAAATCTGTATTCAGTGACTTACATTGCCCTTTTTAGGTAGTGTCGATCATCGATCTGATGAAAATCGCATTGATCATGCTGTTCTTTGCATGCAATACAAGCAAAGTATTTTGAGACCCATGCCTTTCTATGTAGCCATTCCGAAGTATGTACAATAGTAATGTATTTAGTAGTGCATGCACTCGCATGCATGTATTCAGCTTTGACCTGGAGCTGCGCTTGCCAACTGCGCAGCGTCTATTACATTCTTGCAAACTGGAGTAGTAAACCATGATTTGGCCATTGTTGTAACAATGTTCACATGACTTCCTTGTAAACGTACATGCAATGCCCTATAATTATGTTGTTCGAAACATGCATGTGCTTATCGATCATGATGGCTTCTAGTTTTCTTCCCATGTAGATCTACACTTGTATGATTGACTTCACACTGCAGCGTGTGTAGCGCCCATGTACATTTATATACAATACCGTGCATGTTCGATCACTAGTGTGTTCTGACTTTTTTCTCATTTCAATGAACCTACAAGTATATGTGGCCTTGACTGAAACTTGGGCATTCAACTCGAACAACTACATTATACATGTACCTACATTTCCCCTGCTTGTGTGTGTGTGTGTGTGTGTGTGTGTGTGTGTGTGTGTGTGTGTGTGTGTGTGTGTGTGTGTGTGTGTGTGTGTCCCATATGGTGCAGTGGTATGTGCAGCGATTTCCAATCGATAGGTTGCGGGTTCGATTCCCGACGATTATGGTCACACACGTCTTTCTTCTCTTTCTCAGACTCTTCCTGACTTTTCTTTCATTCTCCTGGGTGGTTACCAACAGCCAGTGCATGCCGGAGTATGTGGTGTGATGTGTGTGCGGGAAAAAAAAGAAAAGACCAAAAATAGGGATTCACTCCTCAGAAGAAATGGTGCAATCCCAGCACAAGTTTCTATGGCTTCTGCCGTAGCATTGCTATCATCGCCTCTGGCGATGGGCGTCAAAAGGTCAAAAGGTGTGTGTGTGTGTGTGTGCGCGCGCGCGCGTGCGTGTGTGTGTCAGTGCGTGCGTGCATGTGTGTGTGTGTGTGCAAGGGGACACGTGACCGTAATGGCAGTGTTTACGAGGACCAGTACCAGGTGTGTGTGTGTGTGTGTGTGTGTGTGTGTGTGTGTGTGTGTGTGTGTGTGTGTGTGTGTGTGTGTGTGTGTGTGTGTGTGTGAGTGTGTGCATGTGCACGTGCACGCTTGGCATCTCTAAGCCCCCCCCCAGCTGGATTCGCACAGGCGGTTAGTTAATACGGAGGATTAGCAAGACGAAATTCGCGTTCGCGTTCGCAAACATTTTTCAGTTAGGGACCATCGCAAAAGTTCGCAGAAGCCCCTGAAACGAAGAGCATACGTTTGGGGGGGAGGGAGTCGTGTCGAAAATCGCAAACCGGGCTTCAATTCAAAAAAGTATTGACGACATGTAGGAGCTGATATAGATTAGCATGCCATCACAGCCGGCGTAGATCGCTTGTCAGGACGCGTAGTCATGCGCGTGTCGCGTAGCTGGCTGCCTGTACACTGTGTGTAGTCTAGTACCAAGAGTCCATAAAACGCGTGGTTTATGGACTCTTGCTAGTACTAGCACTAGTACTAGCAGGGGTTCATAGGCCGATGATATGATAGGGTTTATGAACCCCTGCTGTGTAGTATAATTATTATAATAATTATTATGTGTGCAGCATCCAAGTGAAAATAATGAGGCCCATATTGTGAATGTCATTTCGTTTGAGGGGGGAGGGAGGGGGGTCAGGCCCGAAACTCACGGTCTTCGTTTCGGGGGCTTCTGCGAACTTTTGCGATGGTCCCTTTAATAGCGAACTGGATTGCGAACTTTCGCATTTTTCGTTCGGAAAAGTAGTCGGAACACGAATCGCGGATTCGTGTAAGGACAGTCATAAATTTACTACGCTATACTGTCTGCAGACTCTGCACACAATGGACGACGTGTCAACGTCATGCATGTGCGAAGTCTGTTTGCTAATCCTTCTCATAACGCGAATTCCGTCATTGAGTTCGACTTTCCTTGGAGAGCGAACGCGAACGCGAATTTCGTCTTGCTAATCCTCCGTAATGTGTATGAACGGTCTTATTCTCTGAAGGAACCCATGCTCAGCCAAGCCACAGCAACATCAAGAACACTGATACAACAGTACACACTGCTGTTTGAGTTTTGGGGTTAAGACCTTGGACCACCGGTAACCGCTGGAGGAGGGCACACATCTTTTAAACCCAACCTCGCCTCGCCTGTCCCTTACTAGGCAGAAGGCTTACATTTGTAGTTGTGTGCGGGTGTAGCAGCAGTGGACAGCTGTACTGTCATCGGTGCTGTGGGGCTGGGGAGTCTTTTGTCGTTTTGGGTCTTTTGACATGTGGACGTCAGTCCATCCAGCTGCCAGGTCTTTATGTAGTCCCGGACTACATGTAGGCTAGAGTCTAGACTGGAAGCACTCGGCCATGCACGCAGAGCATTTGCGTCAGATCAGACTGAGCTCTTGACACTGAGCCGAGCATGGCATTGTTTAGTTTACAGACAGTTGGGTGTACCTGGTATACGGGTAAATCTACGCCAAGCGTCGTTCGCACCTCGTTGCTAGGTCAGCGCTGCGGTAGCAACACAATCTGCCATAATGAGAATCCCGGGTTTCTGGGATGAACAGTCAGGTCAGCCAGTGCAGTACAGATAGTGCAGACTCGGTGCGCGGACTCAGTGTGTGTGGATCATTGTGGTGTCGTTATCCAGGCCCAACCGCTATTCTCGAGGCCGAACCCAACGATTTGTAAAAAAAGATAGCCAACTATTTGTTGGTTTGAAGAGGCACCTTTTGCCTGTCTTGTCCCCATGGATTCCCGATGCTGTCTGGTTTCAGAAGTAGCGTAGAACCACTTTGGGAAGCACCTTGCTCTGTTCCTGGCTTCGAGCGAGTTTGGTGCCGCTCGGACTATCGGGCGGTTGGACGGTTTCTTCCCTCGCAAGTGCCACGAACGCTAGCTCTCATGAAAGGTAAGGCCCTGAATGAGCTCGTCATGAAGCTTCCTTGTTGACGTTAGCGAAGCCCAAACAGCGATGTGAGGCGCTGGCCAATGTCGGCGGCGTTTGTGGGCATACGTGACCATCTATCGCGGGACAGTTTCAAGATTTGGACCATTCGCCGGCATGTGGTCCGTCAGTTCCATTTTGAGTAATGGTATTACAATGCCATCAGATAAACATTCAGCTGGCATGCAGGCAGGGCCAAGAGCGTTTCATTGCGAAGACGTGAAGTGCCAGCTAAACCGAAACGTGTCCTTTAACTCTCCTCAAGTAGTTACCTCCTCGAAGGGCGCAATGCGAAGATTCGGACGCGCTACAATAGCATTTGTCTTGGATTTGGGGATGTGGGCAGGGCAAATTTCACTCCATACCTTCTTCACGATTGCCAGTGCCAACACGAGCAGATACACACAAAAATGAGGCACTTGGAACGTGCAGTCTCGGAATGAATAATGAGATGCTTTGCGCTAAACTGCAGGGGGTAACACGAATCCAGAGAGCTGACGTCAGTGTTGTGTTTCGCACTCACTCTGCCTGTGGGCTTCACTCCAGTCAGATCATCCCTGATTACATTGGATATTCTGGAAATCCTCAGTTTGTGTATAGAATTATGCTGACCTTTCATACAAACTTCCAGTCAACTTGCCCATCATGCTGGCGGTTTATACTGGGCATATAAACCTCATACAAACCCCATATAGACCACCACCATACAAACTCCTTTTTAGAGATTGAGAATGTATGAAGGTCAGCATAAGTATAATACATCCCACTAGTACGCTTGGACGTGAAATATAAACCGACATACAAACCTCGGCTTCGCCTCGGTTTGTATGTCGGTTTATATTTCACGTACAAGCGTACTGTTGGGTTGTATTATATACGTATGTCATGTACTTGTAGCATACAACTACAGTCTTCAATCACTTGAATTGTCATAGGTCTGGATGGTAGTGAATGTTGCAAGTCCATTCCAGCAAGGAAAGTTAACTGTACGTTTCACACTCAAATCACCGTGCATTTAAAAGTTCCCAAAAGGTCCAGTTGATGTTTGTTGCCCTAGACTATGGAGATACCGTGGTGGATCCAGTGATTGGCACGAGAGTCTTGTGCTACCCCTTGCACTGACGGCGAGGAAGCTTGCAGCCAGTGTATCAATCACGCCCGCCACCAATGGGGTTCAGCACAAAGTCAGAGACTGCATTCTCACATTTTAAAATGATGTGTTAGTTCTCAATTATGTGTGCTATGCGTCGGCCTATTTGCTGGAGACGTGTCAGTTCACGAATGTATTGTTGTTGACACTGATTTAGCCTATTGTATAGTAGAGGGTGGTAAAGCATCATATGTCACATTTAAAAATGTTTTTCATTGTTTGCCATACACGAGGCTTTGGAAGTCTGCCTGGAATACTAGTAGATCTATCTCCCTCCAGAACAGGACTTCCAGGGGATGGTATTTCTCTGTTACCCTAATGCTTTCAAGGGGTTCCCCACCCCTGCAATGGGCTTTGCCATGCATGGCCCAACTCCTCGAACCGGGCAAGGAGAAACCCCAGGATCAGACTAGCGATGGCTGAACTTAAGCCTTGACCTCCTCCTGGGTCTGGTACTGAGTGCTGGCCATGCGTCATGTTACCATTCAGTTGTATATTGGCATATTTATGGATTCACCTCGTTATTGGCATATTGATATGCCTGTCTTTGTATAAAAGAAAGTGGGGGTTTGTCAACTGAATAGAGCGGTTGTCAGTTGACAAACCCCCTTTTCTTTCATAATGCAGTTGCGTGATGTCTACACCTTTCTTACTGTCTTTCTGTCTTTGTACAGGTTGAGAAATGCCGTCGACCGTAGTCAGCCCGCACAATGGCAGCGCGGGCCTGGAGGTCACGCTGGCTGAGGTTCTGGCCGCGCGCCAGTCTCCGCTCAGCGACTCCGACCTGTGGAGCGTGCTGTTCGCCTCCTGCCACAGCCTGGACACGCGCATGCAGTCGGACAGTACGACGTGGCGCAACGGCCCCACGCTGCAGATCACGCCGGACAACACCATGCTGTCGCATCAAGGCGCAATCTCGTTCAACAAGGGAGCACAGGGTAAGACTTAGCACGGTATACACGCTGATCACACCGGCCAAATGACAGTCACATTGTGTTGTCACTTCTTATAATTATCTTCCATTTTTCTGATGAAACTGGCTTCCAGTGGAAAACCGCTGTGATGGTTTTGTCCGTTAAACAGTGCATTTTAGTGTGGCTCTTTTGATTTCTGTATGTTTAGTGTGAGGTCACTACTCTGTGGTTTCGCACACAACCTTGGGAAACTGCTGAGCTGTACAGTTTGGGGCACGAGATTCTGTGTCCTATTGAACACACTGCTTGTCCTGCCCTGTCTTGCTCTGTCCTGCCCTGTCTTTTCCTGCCTTGCCCTGTCATCCGAAACAGACCGCAAGAAGCCAGGCACGTTTGCCCCGTCCGAGTTTCTCTCCCCATCGCGCGGTCAGGGCAGAACTGCTGTCGAAAAGGTAAGTCTAGTGTGTCCGGGCTCATTCCGGTAGCGGGAAAAAGCATGAAGGAACTGCAAGAAGAATAGCGATTCGCAATTTGCATTTTGCTTTTGATGCGTTTGTTCGTACGAGTATGGCCTAGAAAAGGTATGGTCATGTTCTTCACCAAGCAACGTAGATGTAAAGAGCTGTGCAAGACTTGTGTAACACGCTCTTCCGTCCTCTACCACTGTACGCTGAGGGAATAGCGAGGGTATGAACTGCGCTCGACGCCCCATATTGGACACAATGCATGACGTGAGCCCCGGCGCCAGACATTTCACAGTGCCTTGTCTCTTGCAGCTACATGTTCATGTAGCCAAAGTCCGCATTGAGGTGCGCAAGGTTTGAAAAAGTCCAAAAAAAGAGTGATTCTACATGCCTTGATATGCCTGTGTCATGTGCTCTTCCTAACAGCAATACCACCGTCATTCTTTCATGCAAGAAGTGTTGATCATGCATACACACATGGATTAATAATGCTATGATTGTTCCTTCTTGTTGCCTTTTGCAGATGTACATTTACTCACTAGGGATGACGCTGTACTCGGCAGCCGACTTCAATGTGCCTGATGGACAGGTATGCATGACATGTGGTTTGGTAGAGTTCATTCTCATGAGGTTTTGGCTAGTCATACACTTCCCTAAGGGAATGGCCAGCTGAAGGTGGTATGATTAGCTCCCCAAATTGGTATTGAAGAATATGGTGAAATCTTCAGCTCCTGGGGGTTTGTTTGAATGTTGCACTGCTGTTGATTCACTGCAATGCAGGAGATGAATTTGAACGACGGGCTAGAAATTGATGTATTAGCTCCCCAGCCTGATGTTAAAGAATATGGTGAAAGTCTTCAACTCCCGGTGGTTTGTTTTGAACGTTTAACTGCTGTTGATTCACTGCGATGCAGGAAATGAATTTAAGTGAGGAGCTAGAAACGACACTGCTGAATATGTGTGAGGACACGGCGGATCTGCGACCAAGCCTGGCTGACATCATGCAAGCATGCCGCGGACACTGTACGGATAGCTACGAGCAGTGCATCATGTCCTTGGTGTCTGTTGTCCTTGGGAGCTTCACGAACTCGGTAAGACGCCTGTGCAAGCTTGCGAAGGTGCTTGCTTATAAGACGATGAGGTGTAAAGCAAGGAGGAAAAGAGCTACTTGATGCACTGTTTTTTTTCATTTTATTTCGGCGAGTAATACTGAATACTGAATATCAACAATAATGATGCACCAAACACATACAGGAAAGAGGTGCAAAGTTTCTTGACACCAATACCCCTGCAAAAATCGAACTCACTGTTCCTAACCTTTTGTTGTTCAGCTGCCCAGTTAAAAATACGTTGTGCAATTCCTGGATACCTTTTCCTACTAATATTATCTTCATTGTTTTTCTCTCTCACGTGCTGCAGCTTGATCGGGTAATGAAAGCCGGTGAGGAGGATCAGGCGGGCAGCTTTTCCGAGATACCACCCTACACTGCAGGACGCCTTCCAGAAGGGTTCATTTCGCCGGAGCGGGACAGTGTGTTTCCTGCACCTGCAGTGGCAGTATCACCACCAGGTCGTATGCAGCCACCGCAGCACCAGCCCGTGCAGCAGCCAAGGCGAGAGAGCGGCTACGCGTCTGCTTCGCTGACCAACTCAAACGAGTCCAGTCACCTGAGGTCGGCAGTTGTAGCGCAGCAACCTGTGGCGGGAGTGGCACCGGTGGGACAGTGGAAGCCTGCCGCTAAGCAGCTTCAAGCAATGACCAGCACCAGTTCTGAGGATGAAGCATACACTGGTCGTCATCCTAGGCAGGTTCGGAAAGACAGCTTAGACGTGACACGCATTCACAGTGCCAAGAGCTCTCACAAGAAGCGATCGCCGAAAGCTCAGCCTCGGCCGCATTCCAAGAATTACCCTGAAGGTGGTAGCCGATTCAGTGGGTCGCATGTAACTCAGAGATCATCAATGCCAGACTCCAGCAATAGTGGTGTTGGAAATGATCAGTCTTTATCTTCTGTGTACCCATCAGCTCGTCAGATGGGTAATGGTGGCCACCAGCAATTTAGTGATCCCATGATTGTTCCCATAAGTCCTCTATTCAAGGTATTGCCATCACCAATGCAGACTTCTAGTACCACCATTGATGGTCCAGTACCCGAGGAAGTCAATGCTTCTGTTTCAGCAGTCGTGAGTCCTGCTCAGCCACAGGAACTTGCTGGATTTTCATCGCAGATAGCCCGCGAAGCACTCCGCCGTACCGAGAGTAGAGATCAGGCAAAGTTCAACGCCCAGCTGCACAGTCTCGAGAAGAACCCTGGGCGAGGAGCGTCGCACCGTGTCCTGGACAATATCCTCCACTATGATCCCCATGGTAACGAGGCAGACGCTAACCCGGTGATGCGGCATGCATTGCTCAACTCCATGCTAGGCGATGAGAATCCGACGACGTCGAGAGACGCCACTGGTGTGTTCGTGGGCGATACCGTGCAGGTGAGGGGCATGGACCATGCACCTAAGGCAACAGAAACTATCCCCGAGGAGCGGCCGTCTTCAATAGTGTCAGTGACAAGTGCCGTTGCTTCGAGTTCCGCTGCCCGAACCAATGGCTCCGTGCACAGCCCCAGAGTCCTGCAAACGGATGAAGAGGAGGCTGAGCAGCGATCAATGGAACACAAAGACAGCTTGATGATGGAGAAGATGTACAGTGTTCAGACAGCCAAGCGGGAAGCCAGGGAAGCCAAGAAACGCGATCTCTCTCCTGTACCATCAGAGGTGAGCCGAGTGTCTTGTTCATTTGTTACATCACAAATGCATATGCTTGTGTGTGTATGTGTGTGCGTGTGTGTGTGTGTGTGTGTATGTGTGTGTGCGTGTGTGTGTGTGCTTTTTCTTTGGAATTGGTAAGTGAAAATAGTAAATGAACATGTGTACACAAACACATGGGAAATTTATGACTCTATGACAAATCTCTCACTTTGTTCAATTTCAAAATGGATGCATACACATACTGTGTGCATGGGTCAAATCAGATAGAGAGCTGGCGCGTGAATGTGCGCTTGACCGGAATGCCAAGGAATTCCCTTGCCAACCCACTGCTGCAGCCTTTGAGACTACAGTTGCATGATATATGTGTAAAGAATTGTAACTTGTGTGTGTGTTGTTGTTTGTGTTCAGTCGACAATGCCCACCTCCACGAGTTCGTCTCCAGAGCAGAGGCAACAGATCTTGTCCTCGAAAGGTAAGAACAAGCAAGCCTACGGCTGGGTTGCATTACAGTATCCATTACTGATATTTGAAACTCGGATGTTGAGCCATAAATAAATGTAGAAGAGAAAAGGACATATCGATACGAGTTAAGAGTAACTCTCCATCACTGTAACATGATACTATATACAGTCAGAAAGTGCAATAACTAGGCACAAAACTGACAGAGTACTGAAACATTCGACGTCCTGACACCTAGCTTCAACACATCTCCGTAGCGCTAACCGACAGCCTTCCAACTTGGAAGGTTCAAGGTTATGGAAAGACCAAAGAGGGGAAGGCAAGCGCAACGAAAATGAGCAAAAGCTACAGTCCCAACGGAACAAAGAATGTCGATTGTTACTGGACGATGACGAGACCAGTACGATATTTGACAAAGCGGTCTAACTACAATTCGAAGCAGCAAAGCAGCACACCACCCAACTTGGGTGGGTCATAAATATCAAAGATAAATAAAGAAAGGGAAGCTTTGCGAAAACGAATTGTACAAGCCGAAAGCCAAACTCCTACAGTACTCCTCATGCATGACATTGTGATGGACTAGTTGACTACAAAACAAGTTGTTTCACACGACGTACGTTTCGCCGTATGGTTCGTGACGGCTCATCAGGTGTGCAATTTGAAACTCGGATGTTGAGCCATAAATAAATGTAGAAGAGAAAAGGACATATCGATACGAGTTAAGAGTAACTCTCCATCACTGTAACATGATACTATATACAGTCAGAAAGTGCAATAACTAGGCACAAAACTGACAGAGTACTGAAACATTCGACGTCCTGACACCTAGCTTCAACACATCTCCGTAGCGCTAACCGACAGCCTTCCAACTTGGAAGGTTCAAGGTTATGGAAAGACCAAAGAGGGGAAGGCAACTCTGTCTGTACTCTGTCAGTTTTGTGCCTAGTTATTGCACTTTCTGACTGTATATAGTATCATGTTACAGTGATGGAGAGTTACTCTTAACTCGTATCGATATGTCCATTACTGATATGCTTAGCAATTTCCTCCTCGATTTGCTCGTGGTGACTTGCGCTGCATTCAGGGCATCACGTATAAGGTATTGTGACTTTGCTGGTGAGCCATGCGATTCTTTATTTGCCTTTGACCGTTGAAATTAATTTTCCTAAGTTTTCGATGTGCACCGAAGTCTGAGATGCGTCTGAGTCATCTTAATTATCGCATCGAAAATGAGAAAATCAATAGTGATGGGAACTTCAACTTTAACTTCAGCTTCAGGAGGTTTTGTGTTTAGACATTGATTTTCCTTACCTATCCGATCTGCAGCAACAACACCGTCACAATCTGGTGCAGTGGAGATAGCCGGCAAGCAGAGCAAGCCGGGATCACTTGCGTTGAGCCGCACTGTATCACCGGCAAGTGGTGGCAGCGACGATGTGTTCGACGATGACCGAGGCTTCTTGCCCACCAGCCCCAAGGACTTCTTCCAGCGCGAACGCGCCGAATCCATCACCAAGCTCAAGGGCTTCTTTGGTGCGGACTTCAGCAAGTTTGACGACGGGGAAAAGCGACGGCCCAGCAACCTGGAGGAACGCCCACTCCATGTAACCATCAAAAGAGTAAGTTTACTAAGTCAGCTCATTGCTTTCTGAGGTATTCAGTCACCACTTGGTGCTTGAGCGATGCTCTCAAATCTTCCATGATTGCCATGGCTACAAGAACTGAGACTCTGCAGCCAGCAATGCCCATAGGCTGTGAATAAGAGGGTGTTCTGGAGCAATGATCGTGGAAGTGTATTGCATTTTCCAGGGTAATGAAAAGGAGTTTGCAATCACGTTAGTAGACTCGTGCAGCTTGTCATCGGAGAATATGGAGGTTGACCTGTCTCCGAATAACCAATCCCAGTACGGTGTCGGATTTGATTGTTGGTATCGTTATGAACACCATCCTGTACCTATTGGGCTGCTCAATGTTTTTAGCATGACCGAGTGTCGGTGTTCAACATGGACATGCCTCCTCAGCGACGGTCAGTAACCGTGGTACTGCTTGATGGCAAGCAGCTCTCTGTCTATGTGGAGGTATGATCATTACTCCTTGGTGAATACGTTCTGTCTGATGTCATCTCTGTGGAGCTTGGTGCTGTTATTTGCATGTGCATCAGTTCCTAGTTATAACAATCCCTAACTCCTTGACTGTTTTCTGATGATCGCTTAGTGCATGATCGGAAACTCGGAGTTAAAACACTGTTTTCATCCTCTTGTTATTGTTTTGAACTAGCTCTGCCTTTCGATATTGAGCACTCTATTGGACAGCCTGGAACCTCTCTGTTTTAATAACATTCCTTATTGTAAAGCACTATCCTGTACATGGCACCAACTGTACGTTTCACATGCTGTTTTGCAATCTATTTCCCTATTGTGACAGATTGATTCTACAGGTCAGGAGGTGTTTGACCAGGT